GGGAGAAAGATGAGGCTTTCTGCTCCTGTAAAGATTTACAGCCTCGGAAACCCTGTACAGGGTCGCTATGAGTCGGAATCAACTCCACAGCACATAACAACAACAATACAATGGCTAGAACTGCAGTTGCCTGGCAGGGCCAGACCAAGTGATTCTATGGCCCAAGGCCCAATGTTCCCCACCCTTTCTACATAGGGTCTCTATGAATCAGAATGGACTCAATGGTATTTAACAACAAAGGCACTATAGGAACTCATCATATCTTATAGCCACTTGTTGTTGTTGTTGTTATGTCGTAACCACTACGCTACCAGAGCTCCTTACAGCCACTAGGTTTACTTTAAGTTGGAAATGACACACAGCAATGGTTTTAATGTATAGATATACTCTGGCAAGACAAACCGAAGAGTGAATCCAGAATCAGCTACTTGTGGCTACATTATCTTGGGTAAATTGCTTAGCTTCCTCACTGGTAAAATGGTAAAAACTACACTTTTACCTGGACTGCAAACCAAACAGTTGGCAGTTCAAACCCACAAGTTGCTCCTTTGAAAATCTATACAAGGTCATCAGGAGCTGGAACCGACCCTATAGCACTTCAAAACAACAATCAAGACTGTAAATCACATTTCAAATTATAATACTGTCTGTTCTATGAGATAAGACAAAACAAGAACGCGTTCCTTTGAGTCCTCTCTTAAAGGCAATAGTTAAAAAAGCACAGGAGGTCTAGATAGAATCCTTTCTGCTTTTTGAGAAATAAGATTTGTAAATAATGACGAGTAGAAGACTGAGCACACTTTGGTAAAAAGATAACAGTATTTGAAGCCAGCTGATTCCAAGTCGCAATACTTTCATTCATTTGTTAAATCACTCACTCATTTGGCCACTACTTGCGGGGTGCCAGGTTCTGGGGGATAGTCAAGGATATACAGGGCAAGGAGCTTATATTCTAGTATCCTGGCAAACATAATATACCAAAAACGTTCATCTTAATATAGATGGTTAAACTCAATAGAGAAAAGGAAACAAATGAGAAAACCCTAAATTCATTTCAGGACGTTTTAACAACCGGGTTTACAGTGAGGTGAATTAGGAAATCGAACAAGGAGGCGGAGAGAAACAGTTTCACAAATGCCAAGTGTTCTTAAAAAGCGAGCCCCGGCTACTCGCGTCTTTGTGCCCTGACCGAATAATCAGTTTGGGTTTTATTAGGTAAAGACGACGGATGTGACACTCAGTTTTCACTCCATGGTTTGTGTACTGTCCACAACTAAAACTTCGCCAAAATGCACAGTTCCATCAAACGACCTGCGTTTCATTCGCGTCCCGCCGCGCCCAAGGAGTCAGTGAGCGCCGCGGCGGCCGCTCACCTGGTACCCGGCGAGGAAGGTCACCGAAGGGTTCATAGGCGTTTCCTCTGCCCTGGGAAAAGTGGGTGTGGGCACTGTCACCTTAGAAACGCCATAGGCGTGACAGCCCACAGTGGCGGGGACTAGCCCGGCACCCCATGCCCACAAACTGCCTTCCCAACTCAAACGAGCCCGGCCCGCCGGCTTACGGCGTCGCGGAAGGGCCAGAAGTTCTCGCGATATCTTCGACTCGACTGTACTCTGCAGTCATCACCCCGAGCTCCATAATCTTTAAATCTGAGATAACATTTTTCGGGCTTCAGCGCTGCCGGATCCTCAAAGAACTCGTTCTTTCCCAACAGCCAGTGAAAGATTAAACAAATTAAAGGCTCTGTGCCCATTTGAGTGGCTCGCTCATATTTTGTGAGCTCGGTGAATGAATGAATAATTGGAGGGAGACGTCCAGCCTGGTAATGAATAGCTGACAGACACCATAGAGCTAGTTCAGAACCAAGAATCACGGATGAAAAAAATCCATC